TTCATGCTTTTATTCTTGCACACACGTGAGACAAAGCCAGTTTAAATTAATGAAAAAGATTTAAAATTTTATTTTTTGTTTTGTTTTACCTTATGTAGAAGCTTTAAGGGAGGATAGTAAGAAGCTAGGAAAATTCCTTGGCAAGTGGAATGGGGAAACTGAGACAGCTGAACAAACTGGCCCAGAGGTTTACATCCAGATACAGAAGGTCACCAGGTGGAAAGCCCCAAGTGCCTAGCAAAGGGCAATACTAGTGCCAGACTGTGCCCCTTGGGTGGCCTTCCCTCCCCTGGTGGATCTCTGGTCATGTGGTTTAGGCCCCCTGACCTTTCACATTACTGGTCATGTGATTTGGACCCCCTGACCTCTCCTCCCTAGAAATAACATCTAGGCCTCAGTTGTATTTCAGCTCCAGGCCCAGAAAAGCAGCAAAACCAGGTGGGTGATGCCAAGACCAGCTGCAATAACTAATGACACCCCCTCCCTCGCCCTGGCGTTGACCAATCAGTAGAAAACAGGACCCTGAAAGGGCACACGTGGAAAAGCTGATGAATATTCTTTTGAGATCCTCGCCTATATCCGCCCCTAAACTCTCAGCCTTTAAAAACCCTCAAAACAAAGGTTGCAGTGCACTCCCTCCAGAGAGCATGCCCTCACCTTTCCCTTCTCCCTCTTCTTCCCCCAAGGGTGTGCATTGCCTAAACTCTAAGGGACCCCAGGAGACTTACAACCAGGGGAGCAATGGGTATCAGGAGCTCATCCCAGGCTAACCCCCAGAACCTGTCCCCAAGGCCTTCTTTTCTCTTGACTCTCCAGTGAGCTGACAGCAGTCTCACCTTGGCTCACTTCTTTCCCATAATGTTTTTAGAGAGCCAGAGCAGCCCCATCTATTTCTTCTCTCGCTTCTTCTATGCTAGGTCATTCCTTGTTTCACTGTCCCCAGCTTTAATAAACATACTCTTGAAATCACCTGGGCTTGTATTGTGAAATCTTTCCTGCATGAAATCAAGAATCCACACACTACAGGCTGGCCCTATGCAGACCCACTCCAGGCCTGGTCCCTTTCCGGTAACAGTTTGTACTAAGCTGAATAAAATATATTTATTGTATTATAGTCAACACAACAGCAAAAACCCTTTAACTCTTCTCATCTCTATTAATAATGCTACTTTTCTTCAAATTATTTAGCCTTGAATGGAAAATTGAATGGAAAGTGGGTCTATCCAATATTAACAAAAGAGATCAAGTAGAGTGTGCCATGTGCTTTTATTCATGCCCCTATCCTTTATCCTCATGACAACTCTAAGCTGGAGATACGATTTTCTCCACTTTATAGAAGAGGAAACTCCTTGTCTAGCAAATTAATTGTAAATAACTCAACCTGGCTCTTGGTAATCTGCTATGTTTCCAGCCTTCTCTCCAGATACTACTGTATTGCTATCCTAAAGTTCAGGCAAACTCCTCACTTTGCATTCGGTGTCACATTCATGCCTATACTTCTGTTTTTATTTAGTCCAAAGCATAAATGTCCTTTGTCTAGTTTACTCTCTTCTCAGAACTTCTGCAGCACATAAGGTATGGTATGCTTGGGTCATTTAAAAATACCTAGCAATGATCCTTTTGTCACATAAGGAAATTAAGGCATAGGTAGGTTAAGTCATTTGTCCAATAGCACAAACCCAGTAGAAAAGCGGTGCTGGTTTCTCTTATGGCTGTTTGGATTTGATGGAGGACAGATCTGATACAGGAAGAGACCATTTAAGAGAGTATTGTAGTCATCTGGATGATTGGGGCCTGAACTAGGTTGATAATAATAGGAGTGGACAGAAAAAGATGGCTAGGAAAAATAATGAGAGAATATGAAAAGGATTTGGTAAGAGAGAGGTTGCAGAGGAAAGGATTCAAATTATAATTTTTTAAAATGAGGTAGGTGGTCAGCCTAGGTTTCATTAAGAAGGTGATATACATGTAAATTATACATATGTAAAAGTTCTATATAAATATATGTATATATAGACCTATATGTATAATTTTTTTCATATATTTAGTTTTAATTCTCAATTTGTCCTAAGCAGAACATTTGGAAATCAGTTAAAGGGAATTTCAGCTGGCAATAACCTACAAGCTTTATATTTTCTCATGTATGAGATCTTGGACTAAACAGTCTTCTTACCTGTAAAATAGAGATAATACTTACCCTATAAGGATATTTCATGACTCAAACGAGAGAGAGGGACTGTCCTCGCAGAGGCTTAGAAATGTTAGTTTCTCATTCATTCAGTATCTATGGACTGCTTATGCTTAATTCTGTGTCAGCTTTGGGGAAATAGAGACAAGGACAGTATGGTCTTTCTTCCCAATGAGCTTAGAGTTCATTAAGGGAGGTTGATAATCACCGAATAATTATTTAATTAAAACTATAATAGATCTCACAAAGCCCAAGCAACTTGAGACCAGGGAAATCTAACTTAATCTTGGGGTCCAAGGAAGGTTTCCTCGAGGATGTGACATTTTAGCTGGGTATTTAAGGATGAATAGATATTCCTCTTCCTTAGTTGTCTATTCCTATGTCTTTAGTTAACCTAAAGCAAACCAGTAATCAGGACTCTTCAAACCATACTGTTACCTTCCTTGTCTAAAACTCTTACTTTTTACGGACAAATTAATGCTTTTGGTCAAATTAGGAACATGCATATGGTGGAAAGAAATGGTCTTTGTTCAGGAGACCTGTCTTGTGTTTGCTGGTCTGCTCCTTCTATGTATATAAACAGGTTAGCCTAAGGAGGGAATGCCTTCCTTTCCTGTCAAACATCTTGCTCAGCTCTATCTGGACTGAGGCTTCTCTGGCCGTTGCTTTTGTTATCCCCAGATCCCCAAATGCCAGACCAGCCCCTACCAGAGGTACTTAGAGCCAGTATTCACATGTTCCCTTGGCAGGCCTGTCCTCTCAAGTTTCAGTGATATTTCTGATGCTCCGAGAAATATTAAAGACTTCTATCCAACTGACATACTTGTCTTCTTTCTTTGTTTCCTTGATCTTTTTCTTGGATAGAGCAGCAAGCTGCTATAAGATTTGTATTTTAGTGTCCCGCTTGGTCTTCTTCCTTGGCACTGGCCAGGTGACTGGTACGCCTCTTTTCTCAGCCTTTAAAAAACCTGCGCATTGGGGCCTGAAGTAGGGGCAGAAGAGGGACTGTCATGGGGCATTCAGGCCAACCAGCACCTTTCAGCTCAAGGCATGCGTGGTGTGTCATGGCCTCACTTGCCTGGATAGACTGCACTGCAGATCTTGGAATGGGTTCATGTGTGTTCATTCATTCTTAAGCATGACAGTGCCAGGGCCTCAGTGTGGGAGGGCCAGCACACAGTGAAACAGGCCTAGAACGATGGGCAAGTCACTTTATCTTTCTGAGCCTTAGTGTCCATTTTGTACAATTATTTATAAGTTAAAATAATTTATGTTGAGATTAAGAGAATGTGTGTAAAAGGATCTACCGTTGTGTTTGTACCTCAGGGCCCACAAATGTTTGTGTCTTAAAAAAACCATTCCAGACTCAGCTGTGGATAAGCCATATATATATATATTGCTGTTATATTTACAAAACTAGGATCATAGTGTTTGGTCTTCACTACCTTATATGACCACACAAAGCAGAGCATAGTGTGAGGAGAATGCTACCACATTTAAACGTCTTTGGCTTTTTAATTTGAACTAAAATATGTTATGTAGCTTCTGATTAATTTGCCGTTGTTGGACCAGCATGTCCATTTTCCCCTTTATTTCTCCCTTCTCCCTGCCACCCCCAATTTAGAAATATTAGGTATGTTTTGGCTCAGCTTGCGTTTGTCAAACTGGTGGAAGAAACAGCATGGGACCAGGAGAACCTTTTCTATTTTAGCCCTTCTCAATGTTAATGTGTCCAAAGTAAATGTATTTTTGACATTAAATGCTATGAACTAACTAACCTTTTAAAGCCCTAAAACTACAACCTTAGGTTTTGTACCAAGAGAAAGTGGAATTTAAAAGCAACAACAATTTTGGTCATTTCAAAATCACGATATTTAGTTACTAGTAAGCCTGGGGGGGATATTCAGCCTGAGTAGTACTAAAAGGAATATAAAACAAAATAACAACATGTTGCCAGATTGTTTTACCAGTAACATTGGCAGTTTTTAAAATGTAAGAGAAAGAAAAGGGGGGAGAAATGTTGAATTGGGCACTTTGTACAAGCTGATAGAAGTATAAATATGTATAACTTGCCCCCCTCTAAAGCAATTTAACAGTATTTATCAAGCACTGTAGAGGTGTTAATGCCTTTGACACAGTAATTACACTTCTGGGAGTTTAGCCTAAAGAAATAATCAAAAATGGACATAATATAATTATAATACCAGGAACTTGGAAACAACCTAAGTGTCCAAGAATGGGGGATTGATCAAATGAAGTATGAAATTATATGCAGTGGGCTCTTCTGTTAAGAATGGCAAAGTATTTGGAAAAATAATGACAGGGAATAAGTTTGTAAAATAATGTAAAAAAGTAACAAATCAGCACAAACCTAGTATTTTGAAATATAATTTATTTACCTACACCTACTGTGCGTGCGCATATGTGTGTGTGTGTATGCATGACAACTAAAACAGTACATCGGAATACAACATCTCTGAGTAATGGGAATGTTGGTGGTTTTTATTTTCTTCTTTGGACTTTTCTTTATTTTCCAAATTGTTATGTCTATAACCACGAGAAAATCTATTAATTTCAAAATGCATAGTTTAAAATCCTTTGTACTGATACAGTCATATGAAAAAAACAAAACAAAAATAAAGGGGAAAAGCCTAATGGGAATTGCAACGGACTTTAGAAATTCATGTCACATTTGCATAGAGGTCACAGTTTTTAGATATTCTCTGATGACTGTGGTCCATCTTGAGGATGATGAAAACTGTTAACAGTGGGGTACATGATAGTCTTTTTTTCCCCCCCACCATTCCTACAGATATTCCTGAAATTCCAGAAAGCATCTCATTCTGTAAAGCACTACAGATAGCTGACTTCAGCGGAAACCCACTGACCAGGTAAACTCTCTGTCTGTAGTACTAAGGATGTCTTTTTTGAGAACCAAGCAAAGACGACGACCAGGTTACCTATTTTGGAGGTACCTTGATGGAGGCTGTCGTTATCAAGGATGGTGGACCGTCACAGACATTTGTAAATAGCACTGTACAACGGAAGGCACATGGTGCTATTGACGGGACATTGAAAGGATGCTGGAGGATTCGGGGAGGCACACTGGAGTGTGCAAAACAGGCGCGAGGAGTGCACTTCTGAAGCAATATGAAGAATCAGAATGGTTTATAAATCCTCTGTTGACCCATCTTATCTTGTGGGATAAGACTGAGTCCTAAACTCCTATAGAGCTTACTCCATAGGTAGCCAAGGAGAGGTCCTATTAGAGATGTTTTCCCACTCCAGGAATGAAACATATTTAGTATCTCGTTTTGTTTGTTTGTTTTTGTTTTTTGAAAACAACTCTACTGACAGCATTATTTCCATACTTTAGCAATAGCTAGGAAGATTTCTTGGGTTTATTCTTCCAAATAAAGCCACTGTTCACTCTTTCACTGCTGAGTCTGGCTTTGCCTGTCCTGGGCGTAGCTGAGTGATGTCATCGTGAGCCCCTCCTTTGTGGCTCCTGGCTCAGTCTTGAGCCCACTGACCACTGGCTTCTGCACACCTGTGAGCCCACACAGCAGTGCATAGACAGCCCTCGAGAGTCTGTTCCAGACGTTTCCCTGGCCCAGGTGGTCCATTTCTAAGATTTCTGAAGACTATGTAAGCAGCCTTTGCCCCCACCCCCCGCCCCTTCTCCCCTACCGCCTTACTTTAAGGATATAGGAAGATAAAGATTAAATTAAAATTTTTTTCACCCATTTTAAAATTGCTGGGGACTTCTCGTGTATGGAGTGCTGGGGAATGTCCTGTTTAATTTTGTTTTTTCCATATCTGCATATTAAGAAGTAAATATGTTTTTAAAAATATTTCTGGTCTTCCCCCTTTTGAATTTCAGTGATTAAGTGACTAATACCATTTATTTTTATGAAAAATAGTGATCTGGTAAGCTCTCACCCAGTAGCTTTCTAACTCATCACCGTCCCCAAGTCTTGTCCCCTTTCTTAACCATCTTCTGTGCAGTTGTTTCTCTTCTTCAGACCTTTCAGTAGCTCCTGTTTCTATAAGATAAAGTTTGAGCTCCTTGATGTGCTCTGCTGTCTCCCCCGGCTTCTGTCTGACCGTGGTCTGTCTGTCTACCCTCCTCACCCTCGGTTGCCTGTGTCCAGTCATTCTACTTTGCTTCCAGTAAAGTGCTCGGAGGTCATTCATTTCACACCCCTCTCTTTCCATGATGCGAACCCTTTCCCCCTCCTTTAAGGTATAGCCCGAGCATCACATATCTTGATTGATCCCCATGGCCCCTCCCTCTCTGGTCTTCCATAGTCTTCTGTGAGTGCTTATCTCATAACACTTGAAATTTGCTTTAAGTTCTTTCATTGACCAAGGCTCCTGGACTAGACTGAGAAAACCAACTTGTATTCGTCTGTTATTTATTGATCTATTTCCAACCCTACTATAATTTCTGGAATGGAGTAAACATTCAGTAAATGTTTGTTGAACTCAACTAAGCTATTTATCCTTAAGGCAGTTAGTAGAGTTAGGCAGCTGGGAGATATTCAGTATGCTGCCCTTGAGTTTTTTAACCATTTGATTGCTTAATCCCCTCTTCTACCTCTTTAGCTTTCCTTTTCTAATGTCTGCTGACATGAGACTTACCATTATCTTAAAACTCTTGCTCCTGGCACACACCCACACTGTATGGGGATTAACTGGGCTTTACCCTCCCCTCATATTTGGCAGGTTTTGTAAGTAAACCCTTTTAATTTGGCAGGTGCGCTGTTTTAAGAGTTAAGACAATAATTTGTGAGTTGAAAGGACCATAAAAATTATTTAGCTTGGCCTACATATCTTATGGCTGAAGAAAACTGAGGCTCAAATAATTTAAATGGCCTTTTGAGACCATGAAGCGTCTGAGTGGCATCTCAGACTCGAATTCCTTTCTCCTAACCTCAGATTTCCTTTCCTAGCCGTCAGTCTGCGCTTCCTCAATACAGCATGCTAGCCTGGCTCTTAGTGTTAGCAGCCAGGAAAAGGGAATAATACATTTAATAACACATTTTTCTTATAGTTAAGGTCATTCTAGCTACTTTTAGAATGATAAAATGATACATATTTTCTGGTGAAAACTCAGGCAAAAAAAGATAAGTTGCACCATTTTATTTGAAATAACATTTTAAAATAAAAAATGTTGCCTCTGTCACACTATGGAAGAGGCTTCAACTTTGTTAAAAATCGTTACTAAGAATGTATTTCACTGATTATAAAATCCCAGTTAATATTCTCATCTTACACTGCCTGGGTTTGGTGTTGAAGTTTGGAATTATCTGTATTAAACATCAAACAGTAACTTAGGACTTGTTTTTCAAAAAAGGAACCTGGAAGGAGGAAAAAAATGGATGATTCTGATCTAGAGACTATCACTGGAGCCAGAAGTCCTCCCCCGGCCCCCTCGCCCTCCCAATAAGTTATGTGTTCTGTCCTTTACATTAGCTCTCTATATAATTATCTTCAGCGTTTTAGATGCAACAAGAACTTTTTGCCTTCAGTTAGTTTTTTTCTTCTTCTCCCCAAATCCTGGTAACCATAGAAATATTGAAAGTAAACTTTCTCTGTCAGTTTATAAATAATTTATTTTGAAACCTTGCCATTCAGTAGAGTCTAAAAATGGGACATATGAAAAATATCCTTTTGTTTAGAACATAGTGAAACAGAATTATCTCAAGTGGTTGGCGTCTCGGGTCAAATTAAAAGAACAATATTAAGAAAGTAGCAATTGGCTGTCAGCTGATCAATTGTAATTCATAGCTTTGCTCTGGGTATTGTAAGCTACAGGAAAAAAATTTATATTGAGCAACTGTCATGTGTTTTATTATAATCATGTGGGCTGCAATCTCTCTCTCTTTCCTGCTGATCAATACAGTCTTTTCACTCCGCGGCACTTTCAGCTTCAGCGACTATCATTTTCTTTCATACATCACTCAGCAGTCACACATTTTCCCTCCTTTATTCATAAAGCTTGCACATTTTTCCTCTAATTATTTCTGGATCACCCTGTCAACAAGTATTTATCATGCCCTTGAACTTGTTTTTGTTTTCTTTTTCCTTATAAGTGTCTTATATGTAGGAAGACAAGGCAAACGTGCTATGCATAGTGTAATTTTTAGGAGATTTTTTTCAATTAGCCTGTAGAAGGGATTATTATAATTATGTTTAGTTTGCACTATATGTGCACTTTCATTTCTCAATTAACAAGCTTTTTTGTTTGTTTTAGATTACCAGAAAGCTTTCCTGAATTACAGAACTTGACAAGTCTTTCTGTAAATGACATCTCATTGCAGTCCCTACCAGAAAATATTGGCAAGTAAGTTTTGTGTGATGTTTGGGTGTATTAGGGCAGAAGGACACCTGTATCACTCATCCCACCCTTCTTCCCTTTTAAACTCTTATTTTTCTGCTCAGAAAGCCATTCACTCAGTCTTCACCCTCGCCCTCAAGAAAGAGCACCATCAGGCTCCTGTGTCTTTACAACCAATTGTCCTTACATTTTAATGGTTAAAAAGGATGCTGCTACTTGCCACTAGTGAAAAACCTAATTTGTTTGGAAGTTCTCTTTACATTGGTGGATTCCAGAGTATTTAAGCAAAAGTGCCATGTGTCATGTAGGTGGTGAGTAAATACTGTTAGAAACTTCCACTCTCAATGATTTTAAACCATGTTAGGGAAGGGAGCCAATGAAGGGCTCCATTGAGAACTTAGAGAGCGTCCCCTAAACAGCAGCTGTGCCTGCCAGTGTGTGTGCTGTTGACCTGAGGACAGGGCTGAGAGTGGTGTGTCTGGAGAGCAGGCATGGGATTGGGAGGGGTGGAACACAGTGGGCACATTTCCAAGACGCTGGCTTAGAGGCTGGGGGAGGACAGCCATGGAGAGAAATAAAATCCTTTGAGGAAAATATATGCTGGTGAATAAATGTTCTGTTCTGCCTTCTCAGAGATGAATTGATTGAATTATCTTAGCAAATTTTTCCCTTGCCTCTAGGACATACAGTGGGTTAAATCAGGCTCGTGGCTCATGCTTAACCATTTAAAATAAAAGCCCAGCGTGGCGAGCCTAACCTGGTGGACTGGTTTTCCCTAGTGTCATAAAGGATTTCGTTTGTGTTTACCTGTCCTGTCTAAATTCTAAGACAGAACAGAAGCTCACTTTTTGAGAACTACAGTGTATCTGACAGATGTCCATTGAAATGGTGAATTGTTGAGAAAATCTCACAGATGCATAATTATTTACACTCTAAGCAAATCATTATTTGCAACTTAACTTTCCTCATGGCAAAGATTCTTCAGTTTCCCAAAGGATTCCCAAACGGTTTCTTTAGAGTATTTAACCAAACCAAACCAAACAACATCTCACAGATAGTATGGCTTTGTGAACAAGGCACCAGTATTTGAAAGGGGGGTGGGAGGTAGGTGGAGGTGGGCAAAGCAGGGGAAATGGGGATGGAAGGAGACTTTGCTTGTGCCGGTGGGCTCACGATGCAGTGTGCAGATGATGCTTTATCGAGTTGCCCACTTGAAACCTCACACTGGTTGATCTGCTTTTGCTCTGCTGCAAAGCACTATCTTTCATCCTGTACTACACGGCTGCATGCCAGGTAACCATCAGTATGGTTACTTTGATAAAATAGGTCTTTCAAATAGTAGAATCTTTATAATACTTTGTAATGACACAAGGAATGATCATGAAAATCTTTCGACCCACACAGAGTTATGCTGGCTACCTCATGCAAACTGGCACATACTTCATTTACTAAGATAAAAGATTTGCTGACCCTTTTCTGTGATGGTGCATTAACACCTTACTCAGTCCTTCAAAGTAAAGGTGATAGTTAACAATTCATGGGAAACTAACTCACCTTCAGTGGACTTTTGGTTAAAAATACCCTTTTGTCAAAAATACAAAAATGCAACATCTCCTCATTAGTATTCACAAACAAGTGGTTAAGGGCAGGGAAGATGGTAATTTACCAGCTGAATTTCAACAAAGATCTTTCCATAATCAGAAGAAAATTTTAAAAATTAGCATGATGATTTAATAAATGCAACTGATGATGCAGGTTTTTTTTGATTAGTGTCACTTGTGAAGCATCTTTTTCATGTATTACAACCATTAAACCAAGTATCAAAACTTAACAGTTCAGAAACTATTGTTTTGTCCCCAAATGTAAAACAAATGATTAAATACATAATACAGTAGTTTCAGTCCTGTTGCTCTCACTGATGAGTGCCACAAAAATTTTTGTATCTTTAATGAAATATTTTTATTTTCTTAAATTTTTTCTTTTTATATATTTTATAGTATACTATATTTTTACATGTGTAGGGACCACCGTTGTAGAATACAATGCTGTGGAGTCAGTTAAGCTCCCAGCTTAGTGGTTCTCAAACTCTACCTTGTTGGGCCCCAGGGATTCCATTGAAGCCCCTCTAGGCATTGTGGAGAGTGAGAACTAGTGCTCTGGTGGGTGATCCCTGCAGATTGCTGTTTGCGTCAGCACAGCTCTATTATTAGCCTTAATTTCTTTTTGTGTTGGTGTTGCATGTAATATTTGCTTTAATGAAGTCTGCCGCAAATATTTTTCAAGTTAAATTTGGAGACCACTGTTTCATACACGTGATAGGACATGTTTATCGTAGCAGCATGCATTGTGGGGGTTTTACGGTGATGTGGATCCCGCTGAGCGCTGCTCAGACCCAGCAGAAAGCTTCAGAGCCTTTCATGGAAGTGAACTTAAAATTTTTTTACCTACCTTCTCTTTACAAACTGACTGAGATTTTTCCTTACTTAATGATTGAAATACCTCCCTCTTTTGTCAAGCCTTCTCCAGTGATTGAAAAGGTGAAGTAGATGGCAAATTTGCAGGTTCCCTGACCTCACCCTTTACTTCCCACACAGTAAGCACTTTAGTCCTTTGTACACAGCAATCTAGTTGTTCAGTGTATAATTGTGTATATGTAATTAGTGTGTGACCGGGATCACCTTGTACCCTGAAACAGTGGGGATCTCAGTTGTTAATCTCTCTTTGTGTTTGCACTGAATCAGTTGCCCTGACATACTGAACAAATACTTATAGCAAGGCACACTGTTACTTCGTACAGCCTGCTAGCTCCTCACCTGCTGTCACAGGTAACCCAGTTAAGTTCTGGAAGCCTTGGGCTAGGACCATATCAGCCTGTTCCTGCACAGTCACTTTGTGTGTTAATGATGTACATTCCTTTGGGGGAAAAGTTGGTGTCAAGAGACAACCATGAGGAAAAACCTGCTTTCATTTTCTCTAACACTTTCTAATGAATAACTACTGTCCATTCATATTGCTTAATTCCCCCAATAAAGGAGCTGTTAGAGGTTTTAAAAATACGTATATTTAGGGGGAAAAATAGCACACCAGAAGCACTGGTGAGCTTCTTCCTTTTAATAACAGTTCTGACATTTATCACACTTCCTTTTCTGCCTTTGTTGCAGAAAGCTCAAAGCTAATTTCACTGATCAGTGAGAGCAGCCGTATTAACTTCCATGTGGCCAAGGGAAGAAAGGCAC